CATGCTTGTGGATTTCAATGGCTTCTCTGTGTAGTCTGACATGGTGGTTGTGAGAGTGGTCCAGCACTTCTGTGTTCTCAAAAAATAGAGAGTAATCAGGCACATCAAATCACTCTCAACAAAAGATTCCCCCCAGGCACTTCCAAGCCATTAAATGCTAATCAAGGTGGTCAGTTGAAACATTCACACCTAGCTCCAGCAGACAAAAGTCCTTTGTCCCACCCTGGTCATTCCACAGATATATAAACCCATTTTCCTACTTCCAACAGACCTCACTACCTCTGAGGATGCTTGCCATAGGTGCAGGCGAAACGTCAGGAGAAAATGCCTCTAGAACATGGCCATATAGCCCGGAAAAACCTACAACAACCCAGTGATTCCAGCCATGAAAGCCTTCGACAATACATTGCATAGAATTTTTTTTCAAACAAGCTTAAGGAATGTTTTGAAGACACTTTGTGCAAAGGTATGGAAAGGAACAACCTAATTACTGTTGATTGAGGCTAGGGCAAAGGGTGATGGGTATTTACTGCAGAGGTTAAGGAACCAAGAGTATTCCATCTATTCTTCCTTCCTTCGTTCCTTCCTTCCAGAAGTAAGTGTCGCCCTTCTGAGCCTAATGTGTCCTATCACTTACAAAAAGGTGGTCCTGTATTTTTAACACGCAGAAATATAACCAAAAGTGTTCAAATATTTTTGATTTTGTTTACAAAATCGTAGATTGTCTCCTTTCTGGCTTAACTAGTATTGAAGTTTAGTCAACTGCTCAGTTTTGTTTCCATTTAATTGTTTGCTAGTGTTAAATTTTATAATCCCCCCAAATGCATACACCCTGCAGCTGTCGAAACAAAAGTCTTGATGTATTTTTTCAAATATGAGAAGCAAGGAGGGAAAGGGAAGATTGGACACTGAGAGAAGGTTTTGCTAAATTCCTGTAGTTCATGCTCTGATCTCGAGTTTGCACAAGAAAGAGTTAGCTTGTTGCTTATCCATTTGCCTTTGTTGCCCCATCTCTTTTAGCCTTTTGGCCTTCATGACAATATTGGAGAGCATGTTAGAAAAGTGTAGCCAGATGGAGGCAATGCAGTGACAGGCCATTAATCTGGCTTTTGCCTCCCCCCCCCCCCCCCAATTCCCCATCCACTTTAGCTTCCTAGATCCCTTAGTCTTTTTTTTTTTTAATGTACAATGCTTTTTGCAGGAAATCACTGTGCTAACCTGCTTAATACCGTTGAGTTTGGGTGCCTTACGAATTATGCCCCGGCTAAAAAGCTAAAAATACCATAAAACCCTGTGGAATAGCTCCAGCAATGACGATAATTCAGTCTCCGTTTCTGTTGTCAAGAGTCCTGGCTGATGTAATGCCCATCGGGATCCCATCATGAAAAAACACACACATTAAACAGGGAATAAATATAATGTGGATCTGATTGACTCAAACTTAAGTTTGTTTGGGGCCATGAGACTTAAATACTTTGGCTTAAATCCAAATGGCTGGTCCCAACTAGAGTAGACAAATTGAATCAGTGGGATTTGCATAAGTGTTGATTTACCTAGTCTATAATTTATTCAGCGAGTTTGCACTAGTTGGGACCAGCAGCTGAATTTAAGTCAGTTTAATTCAATTTAAGTAGTTTTGAGTGAATGTAAACATTTGAATTTAAGCCTGTAAATTTAAACTTCCAGCATTTTCTCCATTTCCTGTGCCATATCAGAATGGATGGTATTGATGGAAATTGCATGCCCCTCCAAATCATAGAATCAAAGAGTTGGAAGAGACCTCATGGACCATCCAGTCCAACCCCCTGCCAAGAAGCAGGAATTTTGCATTCAAATCACCCTTGACAGATGGCCATCCAGCCTCTGTTTAAAAGCTTCCAAAGAAGGAGCCTCCACCACACTCCGGGGCAGAGAGTTCCACAATGTGGGAAATGCACCCCAACATCGGAAGATGGGGATTTATCTTAGGAATTGGCACCTTTATTTTCAACATTTACACAATATGGAAAGTGTTGAGCATATTGTTGCACCTCAGAATAGAGCTGAAATCACCAGAACTGCACCACAGTCTTTGTAGTTTATTAAAAAATAAAATATGAAAAGTTTAAAAAGCAAGTAATGTTCCAAAGATCAATAAAGCATAGCACTATAAAGCAGGATTCCAAGAGGCACCAACGAAACAAAGTCACGTGAGAACATGACAAAATCCCAAGACCATGGACACAAGAACTGTAAGATAATCTAGGCAAACGAGCACAAGCTGCTCGGTTGAGCGAGAAGTTGCCCTGACAAAGGTTTGTTTTTAAACACACTGCTTAATACCTTTTGCAATACATGAAAGCATTTCTTTGGCCTCTGATCTCCTTCTTGTTGGCTATTCTCACACTCCTTCGAACTTTGAATTCCAAACGGTCAGCCCAATCTAAGATTCCCGTTTCCTCAAGGTCAGGTTGCTCGTTAGTGTCAGCTTGATTGCCTTCCTGCCTACTATCAGGCTGAGAACTGTCCTCCTTTTCTGAGTCAATTTGCACCTGGCTAGTTTCAGTATCAAAAACATCATTCCCTGCTGTGGGAAACAGAACTTGAACACCTTGTTCCTCATTGTCTACAACAGGGACATTTTCAACACGATTGTGAACCTGAATCCCATCATCCTCGTCAGAGTCACTCCGAGATCCCATCTGAATCACAACACATATGCAGTGTCCCAGATTTTGAGATGTCATGTCTTAGGTTCTTCAGGCCTGTTCCTAATTGCCATTGCATTCCATGAAGCTGAGGAAAACCTTGGAAGGGGTTTTCTAAACGTAATATTTTTTTTTGAGGGGAAGTGCAACTCCTTAGAACACAACAGCTGTGCTGGTTGTGGAATTCTGAATGCAAGATTTCAGAGTTTTGGGGTTCTCTTGTCTTTTGCACAAAGGGAGCTGTGATGCTGCAGTGAATGGCAAAGGTCTGGGTGAGTGCTAGACTGCACACAGATTGTAGGTAAGACAGACCCATTACTACACAAATAAAACAACCTGATTCCACTTTAATTGGAACAGTAGCATCCTATGGAACCCTGGGACTTTGTACTTTGGTGAGTCATGAGGTATCTGGAATATAATTCAAAATTCTACTATCTATACTGCAAGAGTCCATAGGATAGCTCAGTTCTTCCCAACATTTGGTCTTCCAGGTGTTTTGGACTTCAGCTCCCACAGCTCCTAGCATTTGGAAAATTGCCTGGGATTTCTGGGAGTTGAAGTCCAAAACACCTGAAAGAACAAAGGTTGGGAACCACTGGAGTAGAACCATGGCAATTAAAGTGGAGTCGTGTTCCTTATTTGTGTAGTGTAAAAGCGTTCCAGATATCCAAGCCTAGCTGTTTTTCCTGAGATGTCCCAGAGGAACAGGCGTGAGCAGCGGCCAGGGATTTCAGGACCCAGTTCATCTTGTACAGAGCTCCAGTGCAGCTAGTCGCAAACTCCATCATTACCTGTCACTAGTTCCTTTTGTTGGGTAACAAGAGTGCAGCAAAGTTGCCTTTTAGAATTAATGTATTAAGTAGGAGTTGAAACCACTTTGTTGATATACTGAGTCAACAGCGTCTAGTTACTTTCAAAAGTTACCTTTTAGCTAACATTTTTACAGGAAATTTTCAAACATATAATTCTGGTCAATCTGGAGAGTTTTTTTCTCCAAAGAACCACAGAATGTCAGGAAAGTGGAGAGAAGTGTAGCAAGTGACATAGCAAGTCATTATCCATCTTTCCAGCAAGTAATGCTAACAAAATCCAGGAGTTTAGTGAAAGGTCCCTCGTCCTCTTTCCCTTCCAAGACATGTCTTCAGAATCCTGTGATATAGAAATGCATTCTGACATCCTCCTGAACCACAGCAAAGTATAGTATCTTTTGCCAAATTAAATACAGTTCTGGTTTAAAACCCAAAGTAGAAACAGTCCAGACATCTGTATTGATTCCTGGCCCATAGGCCCCTCTTACATATATATTTAAATACTTGGAACTCATGTGAACCAAAACTGCTTTTCTTTGAGCTCACACAGGTTGTCTTCACTGCAACTTGAAAGAATGTCTTACCTGCCACAAGAGAGTGGATTGTGTTGTACTAGAGCCCTGAAGTGTATTTTCACCACAAACCACACACTGTGCAGTTAATCCAGTGTAAGAGTTTATTAAAAGAGTATAATAAAAGCTGAATATATGAAAAGCAAGCAAATATAAAAAAGGAATCAAAGTTCACCAGGTTATGTCCATAAATGCCAAAAATCCCACAAATCTCTTCAGAGAAAGTCTCTTAAGATAATTCCAGCAATATATGCAAGAACCAGGTATATAAATCCAAGGTAGGCAAAACTATGCCATTCAAAGACAAGGTACATAAATCCAAGGCAGGCAAAACTATGCCTCACAAAATCAATATGGAAACAGCTTGACACTTGATTACATGAATTTCACAGGTCTTCCTGAGAGGTCTGTACTGGAACACAACATTGCTCTCATGATTATTTTATCAGCATGAACCACTTTTGAAAGCCAAAAATCCCACCCATGAGATCATTTCTTTTGCACCTGCTCTCCTTATCTCTGAGCCTTTGGAGAAGCAAGTCCTTGATCGCCAGTTGTCTTAGCTCTAATCTCTCTGACTCCGACAAACATTCGTCTTCCCCAATTTCCTCGGACTGCAGTTCTGGTAGATTCCCATGAGAACGGCCTTCACTGTTCTCTTGGGAATGACTAAGAGAAACAAAAACATTGCTGCCGGAGGAGTCCAAAACATTTCTCTCTGGGCCCTCTGAATCTCTCCCAGCATCCCCAGCCTCATCTTCTGAACACTGAGAATCTGACCAGGCCACAACAGATGGGTTGTCTTGTTTGGGTAGAAACCCAGCCTTTTCCTGTTTTCCCCTGTTCTTCAGCCTCATTGTTTTGTACAAGAGCAGGGTTTATTTTTTCCTGATTGGAATAATGATCTGATTTCTTCCTCTCTCTCGTAGCTCGTGTCCCGAAGAAAATTTTAAAATGCAAGGCTGTGTCTCGGGAGCTAAACTTTTCATCAACGGAGCAGATGGAGAAATTCCGACTGGAACAGAAAGTGTATTTCAAAGGACAGTGTCTAGAAGGTAAGGTTCTGTTCAGTGGTTAGATGGCGTGGAAGAGGGAATTAATTTCATGGTTCTCTGCAATAGTTCAAAATGTCCTTGGTAGACCAGAATACATGCCTGTCCTTCCTTTCTTCAGTCTCTTCCAACTACATGTCTTAGAGGAAAGAGCCAGCAACTTCAACAAGTTATAGACCACATCTTTTGCATCAGGGGTGTACATAAGTACCAGTGGGCCAGGAACAAAATGTGCAAATGGCCCATCTTCTCTTGCATGGCTAATTTTGTCTGCCACAGGAAAGATGGGGATGAGGCACTGAAAGATATGTGATCCCATTGCCCAGAGATATGTGATCCTCTTCTGTTCAGTGATCAGAATTGCCACAGTTCTGTTTTGCAAGCAGATAGTCCTAGGTTCCTTCCTCAGCTTCTAATAAATGCTTGGGATCACTCAGTAAACAGGCAAACCAAGTGGTTTTGCCATTCAGAGGGATCCATAGCCTAATGTAGGATGTTTACTTGCACCAATTCAAGGGATCTTACAGTATATATAAGAGAGATTATTTTCTTTGAGACTGGAAATTTAGTTTTCGCCTCAATTGACCTGTGGTGATGGAATGCAAATATTTCACCAGTGACACCTAGCAAGCCTAGAGGTTTATTTAAATAGGCATAATATTCTGAGAAGAATTAATAAAAGTGCTTGTCAGAGCTACACTGGCTATTAGGACCAAAACTGAGCAATTTGTCAAAGTTTAGGAATATTCGGGCTGGTATTTTATTTATTTATTTATTTATTTATTTATTTATTTATTTATTTACAGTACTTACATTCCGCCCTTCTCACCCCAATGGGGACTCAGGGCGGATTACAGAACACATATACGGCAAACATTCAATGCTGATTATACAATGACAAGACAGACAACAGATAGAGGTAGATGTTCAGCATTTTCTCATCATTCTGCATCTTTTGGAGGCTGTGCTTGGTTCCAGCCACAGGGGGTGCTGTAGCTCCATCTCCTTGCTGAATTGTTTATTATTATTTATTATTTCAAGCATTTGTACGCCGCCCTTCTTAACCCCCAGGTGGGCAGACTCAGGGCGGCTTACATCTGGCATTATTTGATGCTATTACAGACAAATAATACATACAGTTATACATATAAAACACAGTAAATTGATTACAACATTAGTTTTAAAATAAAAAGTACATTAATGAAAAGTGCAATAATACTGGCTGTCTAGCCTTATGTAGAAACAAATTCAGCAAGTACAACACAATCGGAAGAGCTTTCTGTGTTTGTAAACTTTCCTCTGAAATGCCATGCCTAAAATACCTCCACATTCAATCTGCTCATATTGTTGTTTTTGATCCGCTAGGTGGGTGGGGAGCTGGGCTGAAGGTCAGGAGCTCACCCTGACCCAGCTTCGAACTGTCAGCCTTTCTGTTGGCAAGATTTACTGCAGCTACAGCTGGTGAATATCCGGATGTGCTAAGGCCGGCCTGATTACTTAAAGCAGGGGTCCTCAAACTTTTTAAACAGAGGGCCAGGTCACAGTCCCTCAAACTGTTGGAGGGCCAGAGAATAATTTTGAAAAAAATGAATGAATTCCTATGCACATATCTTATTTGTAGTGCAAAAAACACTTAAAATACAATAATTAAAATGAAGAACAATTTTAACAAATATAAACTTTTTAGTATTTCAATGGGAAGTGTGGGCCTGCTTTTGGGTGATGAGATAGAATTGTTGTTGTTGTTGTGTGCTTTCAAGTCGTTTCAGACTTAGGTTGACCCTGAGCGAGAGCAGGTAAATGACCTTGGAGGGCCATATTCGGGCCCCGGGCCTTAGTTTGAGGACCCCTGACTTAAGCATCTGGAACCAATGATAGTTTAAGCAACCATTTGCTGTCCAGACCATTGTTTCCATGGGTGTTCACAGAGCAAGTAAGGATCAGGGTGTTTTCCTTTTACATCATAATTTATTTCTAGCCTTACCCTATATCTATGATTCTCAGGAAAAACCCCATGTCCACAACCTATATGTACAATTTGTACTGCCTTTCATTCTTCCTTCCTCTTTGCAGAATGGTTCTTTGAGTTTGGCTTTGTGATTCCTAACTCCACAAACACTTGGCAGTCCTTGATAGAAGCGGCTCCTGAGTCACAGATGATGCCTGCTAATGTTCTAACGTGAGTTGCTGCATCCTAATCTGCGGGGAGTGTACCTCAGCCAGAGGTACCTGGAATGTGACAGAAGATGGAAAGGACTGGGTGGGAAAGGGGCTCCACTTTTGGTGCTGTCCCCTTCATAATGGTGCCTGTTCTCTGGCTAAAGAGATCAAAATGATGCATTGAGCACCCTAAGTCAGTTATACCATTTGCAGGTCTCTGCATAGATTGTCACAGTTCCGCTCATCATAAGGGAGGGGACTGCAGCTTTGTGGGGCATTAATGGACCCCAATCTGGTTATTGGAAACCTTGGTTTTATCTCCCCCTAAGTCTCTTTGGTTAGAGCAAGGGTGTCCAACCTTTTGGCTTCCCTGGGTCACATTAGAAGAAGCCATGTTTTGGTTTTGGGCCACATTACTAGCCATCCTGGGTCACAAATAGCAAGAGCATATGGCACACTTGGGTACCATTCCTAGTACAGAATACACACTTGAATCAGTGTCTTTATTTTATTAATTTTAACAGTTTTTCATTTAGTTATTGTGCGTTTTCCGGGCTGTATGGGCATGTTCTAGAAGCATTCTCTCCTGACGTTTCACTTTCAATACAGGTTTTCATTTCTTCTTACCAAACTGTTAGCAATTATAACACAAATTATAGATAGTACTCAGATATTTGTAAATGTACCATACTCTGATTATTCAATTCTATTCCATTGTTGTTTACAAAGTATGTCCTCAAGAACCGGGCAATCGAGTTACAAAAAAAATCTTAATGTTTTAAGTAGCTTGATGATTTTGTGTTGGGCCACATTTATAGGTATTCTGGGCCACATGCAGCCCATGTGCCACAGGTTGGACAAGCCTGCTGTAAGCCAATTGTGTGAGTTGCAGAACTCTGAATAATTTTGTTAGAATTCCGGAGGGAGTTGAAAACTTGGATTTTAGAAAATGTCTAGCCCAATGGTCTGCAGTTATGATACAGTACAGCACTTTCATCCCATGCCCAGACTTTTTTCTTTTCCACAATTGTGATGTCTGGTATGTTGTGTTCCAAAACTTTGTCAGTCTGGATTCGAAAGTCCCACAGTATTTTTGCATGTTCATTTTCCACGACCTTTGTGGATTTATGATCCCACCAATTCTTTACTGCTGGCAGGTGGTACTTGTGACATAAGTTCCAGTGAATCATTTGGGCCACAGAGTTGTGCCTCTGTTTGTAGTCCGTCTGTGCGATTTTCTTTCAACAGCTGAGGAGATGGTCCATGGTTTCATCAGCTTCCTCCGCCTCCTCCTCCTCCTCATTATTATTATTATTATTATTATTATTATTATTATTATTATTATTATTTCTACTAATCATAAGTGATGATGCTGAAGCTTTGTAAGGCATTAGAGGACCCCCATCTGCCTGTTGGAGACTTTGGGCTCATCTCACCCTAAGTCTCGGCTTAGGTCAGGCACCCTCAAACTGCGACCCTTCAGCTATTTGGGCCTCCAGCTCCCAGAAGCCCTAGACGGCTTGTTCAATTTTCAGTAATTCTGGGAGTTGGAGGCACAAACAACTGGAGGGCTTCAGTTTGAGAATGCCTAGCTTAGATAGTCATGGTCTTCACAGGGTGTTTGGCCACATATCTGGCAGTAGAAAGACCCTTCTCTGGCTTCCTCTTTGTCTTTGCTTGACCTCTTTTCTTCCTTTTCCTTTCTTCTGCAGCGGGAACGTAATCATAGAAACCAAGTTTTTCGATGACGACCTCCTCGTAAGCACTTCCAGAGTAAGACTGTTCTACGTTTGAGAGAAGACCAGGGTGGGTTTGGGCCTGGCTTAGTTCCCCCGCTCCCTCCCTCCACACACAGAGACCCCTGGTTCCTGGTGCCGAATCCCCTCCCCACCCAAACCGTGTCAAGTGGAAGACTCTCTCTCTCTTCCTTTAGCCGGCGACAGCTGAATACAAGTTGTGAACTTTGCCCATCGCTCTGTCTCTCTTCCTCCTGGCTGGGTGAGATTGAGCCAAAATAAGAGGGTCCACCATCCCCTCGAGTCTGGGGAAGGGCAAGGGAGGGAAGAGGACTCTGCTAGAGACCCCAACAGGGCCAGCCAATGGGCATGAAGGATCAAGATTTGTAAATTATGTTTAGTTTTTTTTTAAAAAAAAGGAAACAAAATGCTTTGTATGTCTCTGTCCCTTAGTACCCCATTCTTGGCGGGCGGTACATATCATTGTTTTTAAGTTAACACGTTTTCTTCTCTCCGTTTTCGTTTTTCTTTCTTTTAAGTCCATATGTAACAAGTTCAGATGTCATCCCTCAAACCCCTTGCTCCTTAAACTTGTAAAATAGACTGTGATATTATTACATAATGTAATTAAAGTAAATTTCTGAATTAAAAGAAACAAACATTCCTACCGTTCAAGGTCCTAGTAATTTTTTTTCTTCATTTTCCTTGGAACATCCTCCCATTAAAAAACTTCTGGGCTACTTCTGATTTACAAGAGCATCTAGAACAGTGTTTCTCAACCTTCCTGGTGCTGTGACCTCTTAAAACAGTTCCTCATGTTGTGGTACTTACTTACTTAGGCGATCCCTCGCTTTCCGAGGATGATTGTCTTCCAGTGTTCTTGTGGGTCCGTATGTGGCTGTGGAGCCCTATTCTTGCTCTGCATCTTCTTCCGCAGTGAGGGCATTAGTTTCCAGGTGGAAGGCAGTCTCGTCGGGGTTGGCTTGACGCGCCTTCCTCTTGGCACATTTCTCTCTTTCACCCTCCATTCGTGCCTCTTCAAATTCTGCAGCACTGCTGGTCACAGCTGACCTCCAGCTGGAGCGCTCAAGGGCCAGGGCTTCCCAGTTCTCGGTGTCTATTCCAGAGTTTTTAAGGTTGGCTTTGAGCCCATCTTTCAATCTCTTTTCCTGTCCACCAACATTCCGTTTTCCGTTCTTGAGTTCGGAGTAGAGCAACTGCTTTGGGAGACGGTGGTCAGGCATCCGGACAACGTGGCCGGTCCAGCGGAGTTGATGGAGGAGCATTGCTTCAATGCTGGTGGTCTTTGCTTCTTCTTCCAACACGCTGACGTTTGTGCGCCTGACTTCCCAAGAGATCTGCAGGATTTTCCGGAGGCAGCGCTGAAGGAATCGTTCCAGAAGTTGCATGTGATCATAGAATCAACGTCTCACAGCCGTATAGCAGGGTTGGGAGGACAATAGCTTTAAACAAGCACCTTGGTATCCCTACGGATGTCCCGGTCCTCAAACACTCTCTGCTTCATTCGGAAAAATGCTGCGCTTGCAGAGCTCAGGCGGTGTTGTATTTCGGTGTCGATGTTGACTTTGGTGGAGAGGTGGCTGCCAAGGTAGCGGAAATGATCAACATTTTCTAATGTTACACCATTAAGCTGTATCACTGGCATTGGAGAGGGGTTGGCTGGTGTCTGCTGGAACAGCACCTTGGTTTTTTCAATGTTCAATGACAGGCTGAGCTTCTCGTATGCTTCTGCAAAGGTGTTTAGAGTGGCTTGTAGATCTTCTTCTGAATGCGCACAGACGACATTGTCATCAGCATACTGGAGTTCTATAACAGATGTTGTTGTAACCTTGGTTTTGGCTTTCAGTCTGCTGAGGTTGAATAGCTTGCCATCTGTCCGATAGATGATTTCCACTCCGGTGGGAAGCTTCCCATCAACAAGGTGAAGTATCATAGCAATGAAGATGGAGAATAAAATTATTTTTGTTGCTACTTCAGAACTATCATTTTGCTACTGTTATGAATCATAATGTAAATATCTGATATGTAGGATGTATTTTCATTCACTGGACCAAATTTGGCACAAATACCAGATACACCCAAATTTGAATACTGGTGGGGTTGGGGGGGGGGATGATTTTGTCATTTGGGATTGTAGTTGCTTGGATTTATATACATGGCCTTTGGGGTCTCTTCCAACCCTATGCTTCTGTGGCCATTGTGTTGCTGCTCCTCGCTTCTCCCACTCTGTGGATGAGAGGCAAAATGCCAAGATATTGAAGGTGTGTGTGTGTGATGGAAGGAGAGGAAGTGATATGGATTTTCTGGTGAAAGCAAAATTGGAAAATTTTCCAGCATTTCAAATAATGCTCAAAGATTTATATGGATTTGGATTTATATGGATATGGATTTGGTAGGCACATACATAACAGCAATGTATAATATTGTAAACAAAATAAAATGTACTTTCCTTATTCTAGACAAAAATAATTACATTAGAAAGAACACTATGCTTTTTTAAAGACAAGTAGCCTTTTTAGACTTCAGGAAAAGGGACATTTAAGATGTCTTTGGAGTTGTAGCCCAAAACACTTGGGGACCCACAGGTTGAGAATCACTTATCTAAAGCTTTGGGTAACATTGGGAAGGGCTAACCCCCTGTGGAGTTTGTTTTTTTTGCTTGTGCCCCTGTTCTGAGAGTGCCTTGGACCGCGAGAAGATCCAACCAGTCCATACTTCAGAAAATAAAGCCCAACTGTTCATTGGAGGGAAGGATAGTAGAGGCCAAGATGAAGTACTTTGGCCACATCAAGAGGATTCAGGAAAGCGTAGAGAAGACAATGATGCTGGGAAAATGGAAGGAAAAAGGAAGAGGGGCCGACCAAGAGCATGGTGGATGGATGGCATCCTTGAAGTGACTGGCTTGACTCTGAAGGAGCCGGGGGTGGTGATGGCTGACAGGGAGCTCTGGCATGGGCTTGTCCATGAGGTAATGAAGAGTCGGAAGCAACTGAACGAATAAGCAACAACAACAAAGCTCCTGTTCAGAAGATTTCACCCCACTTTTTATCCCTGTGATAATTGAATATTGTAAATTTTGGCTTGTTGTCGAAACAAGGATTGGTGTGCCGTCGCGCCTAGTGGCTGTAACTCTTAGTGAAAGAGACATAGACGTGACATCTTTCCCCCAGGGGATTGCTTCTTGTCTTCTTTAAAGAACTGGAACTCCCAAGGACCAAAACACTCTAGATAACTCAAAATAGGTTTTATTGTTCACAAAGAGTTATCCCTTTAAGGCAATAAGCTGGAAGTTTCAAAGGAAGTAAAGGAAATATACATTACAGTCTCTGGTTGTCTTGGGTCCAAGGAGATTTTGCAGCTGAGAAGCTTTTCCTGTTCCATCTTTTCTCAATGGCTGTGAAGGTCGGAACAAACACAACCCCCAGTCCAATGGCCTTTGTTTGAAGACACAGCGTCTTCCTTTTGATGCCAAAGGACCGGTTTGAAGGCGCTTGGGTCTCCTCAACGTTGTCCAGGGCGATCTGGACATGAAGTATGAGTCCCAAGGGTAAAAACCTTAGAATTGGTGATGAGAGGTAACTTAATTAAGGGCTTTAGAGCCAAGTCTCTTTCTCACGTCTATCTGATAGAAAGTTTAATGGTAGAATGGAAAAGGAAAAGCTCTGCCCTCCTCCAGGAAGAGGTGGAGCCAAGCAATTGAGCTGAGGAAGCAATATAACTGGTGCAAACAACATTGATTGACAGCTATAAATAACCAATCAATCCAACTATACATTTACAAACTAGGCAAGTTTGGGCATGTTATACAGTTTAAACCTTTGCACTTTAAAGTTCTACACACAGGTGGCGCCACTCGCACCATCACAATTGGTGATAAGGCTTCAGTGGAAACCCCTTTTCCCTAGGATGATTAGCTGCCCCAAATTCCTCTGTGGAGATGGGGCAGGATATAAATAAAGGTATTCCAGAATCTGAAAAACCTCATCTCAAGCATTTCACGTAAGGAAGACTCAACGTGAACAAGAAGATGTTTTCTTAAAGCTCCAGCACTCCAGTGCTCACTGCAGCGCAACTATACCTCCCTGAAATGTAGGGTGAAAATTTTTCTGCAGAAATTCCCCAGAGCAGATGACTTTCCAATGCTATATCCTTCATAGAAATGTTGACACATATTTTCATGTTTATCCATAGTTGTGTGGGCTTTTGCAGTGGATATGAGCTCCTGTAAGTTAGGCTTATAAGAAGAGACAGCAGTGTATTATCGAAGGCTTTCATGGCCGGAATCACTGGGTTGTTGTAAGTTTTTCTGGCTGTATGGCTGAATGCTTCTGGAACATGGCCATACAGCCCGAAAAACGTACAACCCAGTGACAGTCATCTTTCTAACGAGAAAGAGAGTTCAACCAGTTCTATTGATTCCAATTTTTCTCAGCTTAAAAAGGAATTTATAAATAATGTATAGAAATCGAATCAATGAAGCTGTGACTCCAGCTATGCCTTTGCCAAAGATATATTAAATTTCCCTTTTCCTGAAATGCAAGAAGATGATGTGTCTTTAAAAAAATATAGTGTTCTTTCTAATTATTTTTTGTTAAGAATAAGGAATGTATATTTTATTTTGTTTACATTATTATAAATTGCTGTTATGTGCCTGTCTACCAAATCCATATAAATCTCTGAGTATAACATCTCAAGCAAATTTACCAGCACTATTTAGAATGCTGGAAATTTTTCCAATTTTGCTTTCACCAGGAAATGCATATCACTGCCTCTCCTTCCATCACACACACACCTTCAATATCTTGACATTTTGCCTCTAATCCACAGAGCGGGAGAAGCGAGCAGTAGCAACACATGGACCATAGAAGCATAGGATTGGAAGAGGCCCCAAGGGCTATCTAGTCAAACCTCATTCTATCATACAGGAAGCCACAATCTTGTGTCCCGCCCCCCCCCCCCCCCAATATGACATCCCTTCAATTGGGTTGTTGTAGGTTTTTTCGAGCTATATGACCATATTCTAGAGGCATTCTCTCCTGACGTTTTGCCTGCATCTATGGCAAGCATCCTCAGAGGTAGTGAGGTCTGTTGGAACTAGGAAAATTGGTTTATATATCTGTGGAATGACCAGGGTGGGACAAAGAACTCTTGTCTGTTGGGGCTAGGTGTGACTGTTTCAACTGATCACCTTGATTAGCATTTGATGGCCTGTCTGTTGTTTGGTGTGGCTTGGTAGTGCCTGGGGCAATTTTTTGTTGAGAGGTGATTAGATGTCCCTGATTGTTTCCTCTCTGTTGCTTTGCTGTTGTAATCTGGTAGCCAGATTTTGTTCATTTTCATGGTTTCTTCCTTTCTGTTGAAACTGTCCACATGCCCGTGGATTTCAATGGCTTCTCTGTGTAGTCTGACATGGTGGTTGTGAGAGTGGTCCAGCATTTCTGTGTTCTCAAATCATATGCTGTGTCCAGGTTGGTTCATCAGGTGCTTTGCTATGGCTGACTTCTCTGGTTGAAGTAGTCTGCAGTGCCTTTCATGTTCCTTGATTCGTGTTTGGGCAATGCTGCGTTTGGTGGTCCCTCTGTAGACTTGTCCACAGCTGCATGGTATACGGTAGACTCCTGCAGAAGTGAAAGGATCTCTCTTGAACAAAATCT